TTTGCTTTTCTTCCCCTGAAAAGCGTTGATGGCCAATCAGAGCGAGGGAAAAGAGCCCCAGATCGTGCTAGACTATAATGGGACTAGCGCTCGGAGTTTCTTTCCCTCGGTGTTCGGATTATCTTTTTGCTTTTTTCTCCGGTTTTTCCGAATATTTTTTGATAAAAAAAAAAGTCGCGATAGACGATGAAGATCAAGATGCGCCAGCGAGGATTGTGATGGGGGACATTAATTGATCATGAAGACGGATTTCAAGGTGGGTTGATATGCTACAGGTCTTCCTATATCTATCATTGTCTAATATCTAACCATTGTGTAGTTCTCCAACCTTTTGGGGACTGTTTACCGCAAAGGAAACCTTCTCTTCACCCCCGATGGCACATGCTTGCTCTCCCCCGTTGGAAATAGGGTCTCTGTTTTTGACCTTGTGAAGTAGGAGATACTCTCATCCCAATTGTTTGCTCTATAGCTCAGCCCGCTAATAAAAAGCAGTAATAAATCATATACACTTCCCTTTTCGCACCGCACGAATATCGCACAGATCGACCTCTCTCCCAAAGGCAACCTCCTCCTCTCGGTCGACGAAAACGGCAGAGCTATCCTCACAAACTTCCCCCGACGAATCTCAATACACCATTTCTCTTTCAAATCACCCGTCTCTGCACTTTCGTTCTCACCGTCTGGTCGACACTTTGCGGTGGGGGTAGGGAGACGGGTTCAGGTCTGGCAGACACCTTCGACTCCAGGAGCAGATGGTTCCGGGGAGCTTGAATTTGCGCCATTCGTCCTTCACCATGACCATGCGGGTCATTATGACACGGTTCAGAGCATCCATTGGTCTAGCGATTCGAGATTCTTCTTGACAGCTTCCAAGGATTTAACTGCAAGGATATGGAGTTTGGACCCGGAAGAAGGCTTTGAACCTACTACCCTCTCAGGCCACAGGGAGGGTGTCAAGAATGCATGGTTTACCGAAAACCAGGAAGCGGTAAGGAGTTTTATTTCAAAATTAGGGGGCTAGAAACTAACGAATGGCTAGATCTATACTGTTAGCCAGGATGGTGCTCTGTTCCGATGGGAATACGTTACCAGAGTGACGGACCCAGACTCTATGGAAGAAGAGTCAGATATGCGATGGAGAATAGTCAAGAAGGATTATTTTATGCAAAACAATGCTAAAGTCACCTGTGCTTCTTACCACGCCGTCACAAATCTCCTAGTCGTCGGTTTCTCGAATGGCCTTTTTGGGCTCTACGAGATGCCCGATTTCAACACCATACATCTTCTCAGGTAATATCACTACCTCCTCGCCTTGGTGACTAGGACTAACCAGTGTACAGTGTTTCACAATCAAATATTGACTTCGTCACTGTCAACAATTCAGGGGAATGGCTTGCATTCGGTTCATCAAAGATGGGACAACTACTTGTCTGGGAATGGCAGTCAGAGTCCTACATCTTGAAGCAACAGGGTCATTTTGATTCCATGAACGCCTTGGTCTATTCCCCTGATAGCCAACGGATAATCACAGCTGCCGACGACGGTAAAATTAAAGTATGGGATGTCAACTCCGGTTTCTGTATAGTTACTTTCACCGAACACTCCAGCGGTGTCACGGACTGCGAGTTTGCCAAACGGGGAAATGTACTATTTACCTCGTCGCTGGATGGATCTATCAGAGCATGGGATTTAATACGGTATCGAAATTTCCGAACATTTACAGCGCCATCGAGGTTGTCATTCTCAGCACTGGCAGTAGACCCGAGCGGTGAGGTAGTATGTGCTGGTTCTCACGATTCCTTTGACATCCATGTCTGGTCTGTCCAGACGGGCCAGCTTCTAGACCAGTTATCTGGTCACGAAGGGCCAATATCCTCTCTTGCTTTTGCTGCCGACGGGAGCCACGTTGTCAGTGGAAGCTGGGACAATACAGTACGAGTATGGAGCATTTTCGGGCGAAGCCAGACCAGCGAGCCTCTGCAGCTTCAGTCTGATGTTTTAAGCGTTGCATTCCGGCCCGATGGAAAACAAATCGCAGCGTCTACGCTCGACGGTCAACTTACATTCTGGTCAGTTTCAGACGCTGTTCAGGAAGCCGGAATTGACGGCCGTCGCGACGTTTCTGGTGGGCGCAAAGTCTCGGATCGCCGAACAGCAGCGAATGTTGCTGGCACAAAATCTTTTAACACAATTACTTACAGCGCAGATGGAAGCTGCCTCCTTGCTGGAGGAAACAGCAAGTATATCTGCTTATACGATGTTGGAACGGGCTCCTTAATAAAGAAGTACACTGTTTCGGTCAATACATCTATTGAGGGCACGCAAGAATTCCTTAACAGTCGAGACATGACTGAAGCCGGTCCACGAGGTCTTATCGACGACACTGGAGAAGCCTCCGACCTCGAGGACCGAATCGACCGTACCATGCCCGGTGTCCGTCGCGGAGATGCTGCAGCTCGCACAACTCGTCCTGAGGTGCGCGTAACTGCCGTCGCGTTCGCACCTACAGGACGCTCCTTCTGTGCTTGCTCGACAGAAGGTCTATTAATCTACAGCCTCGACACCACACTCGTCTTCGACCCATTTGATCTCGACATCTCTATCACACCAGCCAGCATCCTCGCCACTCTCGAAGCTTCAAAATCTACATCCACCACCACCACATCCTCCACCAACGAAGAACCCACCGACAACCCCTCCTTCCTCAAAGCCCTAATAATGTCCTTCCGCCTCAACGAAGCCTCCCTAATCCGCACAGTATACGAATCCATCCCCTCGCAAGACATCCCACATATCGTCCGTTCCCTCCCAACAGTCTACATCCCCCGCCTCCTCCGCTTCGTGGCCACAGCTACAGACGAAACTCCCCATCTTGAATTCAACATGCGCTGGATAGAGTCCCTTTTAAGCATCCATGGTCGCTATCTGAAGGATAATTCCGGTACCTTTGCGCCAGAGCTGAGAGCGATCCAGAGGGCAGTGGATGAGATTAGGGATGATTTGAAGAGGTTAGCGGAGAATAATATCTATTCGTTGGAGTATTTACTTTCGAAGCCCGTGATGGGTGGGAAGGCGAAAGCGATATCTAGTGGTGAGTTTGTGAATAGGAGAGGTCATGATGATGATCAAAATATGGATGACGCCGGTGGTGAGGGTAGCGATGACGGGGAAGGGGTTTGGATTGGTCTTGAAGATTGAATCTGAGTGTATTTATGAATGAGGGATGATGTCAAGGCGTTATGTCCCAAAAAAGAACCTGAATAGATTTCATTTTGAACGACCTCATCTATGATGTTCGAGGGTTTCTTGTTTATTGTTGAAAAACATTATCTGAGAACTCTTTCATATGGTTGAATCTCAGTGTCACTGTGACGTTTTTTCCCGTCACTGACTCCTTTTGACTCATTCTCGCAACGAGAGTTTGCATTATGTATATAAAGGGAAGGGAAGGGCCTTCCCTTTCCCTCCTATTCATCTTAGCCCAATTCTCAATCCAACATAATGGGGAACAAAAAATCGACCCTCTCGCGCAGCGAGACGCACCACTTTTCTACAGATACTCTACCTCCCTCATACAATGAGGCAACCGGTCACCAGACTAGCCGACAAAATTTGGCTGATAAAAAAACTGCTACGCCGGAAATTTTTACAATGAAGTTCCCCATACTTGGAGACGGGACGTTCGAGAATGACAAGAAACTCGCACAATCAGAAGCAACGTACAGAGAGCTAGCAAAGAGTCGAGAGAAAACTCTTGGACCCACGCATGAAAGGACCCTCGAAGCTCTTAGCACACTAGGCGCCGTATTAGGAAAGCGAGGGAAACTCGCCGAGTCCGAGAAGTACAGCAGGCTAGCGTTGAAGGAGCAGGAGAAGATACTGGGATTCGAGCATCCGGATACCTTGGTCAGTGCGCATGATGTGGCGTGGATTCTGTCAGAACAGGGAAAGTATCTGGATTCCGAGATGTGGTATAGGAGACTGGTATCGGCACGGGAGAAAGTGCTTGGGCCGGGTGATGACAATACGCTTTCGGGTATCCAGGGGTTAGGGTGGGCACTTTCGATGCAGGATAACTTCGTGGAAGCAGAGATGTGGTACAGAAAGGCCATGGAGGGGCGAGAGAAGACTCTTGGACCTTTGCATGCACAAACGTTGTTAAGCCTCGTCGACTTGGGACATGTGCTTGCACGGCTCGGGAGATATGCGGAGTCGGAGGAATACTACAGAAAGGCGGCCACCGGGCTAGAGAAAGCCTTAGGTTCCAAACACTGGATTACGTTAACAGCTATTTATAATGTGGGTTGGGTGCTTTCACGGCAGAACCGGTTCGTGGAAGCAGAGGGGTGGTTTAGAAAGGCAATGAAGGGGCGAGAGACAACATCCGGGTCTATGCATGAAACAACTCTCGTCAGCCTTATCAGCTTGGGATATGGATATATCCTTGAAAAGCAGGGGAAGCACATCGAGTCAGAGATATACACCAGAGGGGCGGCCGTGAAACTGAAGAACGCCCTCGGTCCTAAACATCAGCTTACATTATCAGCCACCCATAATGTGGCTTGCATGTTATCCGGGCAAGGAAAATATGCTGAAGCGAAGACTTGGTTTAAAAAGGCTGCGGATGGACGAAGGAAGACACTTGGTCCCAATCATGCGCTGACTCAATTAAGTATGAGTGGCCTGGAATACGTGCGATGGAAACAGACTCAGGGGGCATTGAACATTTGGTAGGTTGATAGAATCAACGGGAGGGAGGACATGTATCAGTGGCGCGGCAATAGAAAGAGTGTCTCCTGATTGCGAGAATTGAGTACGCTTTCGCTTCGAGAAAGACTGAACGAATTCCGGGCATCTAGATAGTCTTTGTCAGTGAAAGATATTTACTATGTAGTCGTTCTGATCGTGTGTTATCGAAAACTTCAATATATTTTAGATGTATTTGTCAAAGTGTGTCTAAGTATTCTTTGTGAGCAAGTCAAACAACAACAACGACTCATGGGAGTGTGGCCGAGTGGTCTATGGCGCTGTGTTTAGGTAATCAAACCTCCGCAGTGGGTCCGCCCGCGCGCGTTCGAATCGCGTCGCTCTCATATCCTTTTTTTTTTTTTTTGAGATTTCGAATTTCAAACCCTCGGAGTTTTCGCTATTGGGAAGCTTTTGGAATATTTCCCTAGCAAGAGGGGAATTGCTATCGTTGCGGCGAATGAGTTCGAAGTTGTCGTAGCCAATATAGACTATCACGGTATTCTATGCATGGCATGAGGTACCAGTCGTAGGGAGTAGAAAAGCGGCACATAGTGTCAACAAGAGAATAGAATCTATTTCTAGCTCTATAGATGAACCAACCTCTATATATTTGCTTACCCCATCTTCTTTTATGCAAAGAGAAATGTGGACTGTTCTCTGTTTCGAGGCATACCACGAAAACAATATATATCCCGTCCCATCGTTTTAAAGTCTTCACGAGAACGTGTCTAATAACAAACAGCGCTCGAAAATAGTATCGAGTAATCTAGGATAGCTCTTTCTTCTGGTCTTCAGCAACCGATTTGGGGTCCGTCTTTCCCTCGTAGATCTCCTTCGTAGTCGCGAGGATGGAGGACCAATCCTCAAAGAGAGTAAAGGGCATGTTCTCGCGTTGGCAGTAGGTCACAAGATCTAGATACAAGGGAAAAGCCCAATTAATTTTTCCCCAACGAATATGAGATCAGGGGGTAAGTGGATATAGTCTGTGCATACCATGACCCTTCTTTGCGAATAAGAGATCCGTTTGCGAAGCGGCCGACAGATCTGAGACGCCGTCACCGGCGTATAGGAGCACTGGGCGCTCATTTTCTGGCAGAGCAGCGTAGGGCTTGATTTCAAGGGACTTGTCGTGGCCGAAATGACTATAATCGATTCCATACCGTTAGCACATATAGCAGTCGTGCTCGGGGCGGGATCCGTGCAGCGCTCACCTCTCATCATGGAATACAATCTCCCATCCACCCTCAGAGTTGATATCCTTCCCATCCCTGCCCTTCACAGTATTTGCGACGATCTGGATATGATCTGGCTCGTGGCCGAGTAGCGAGACAAGCAGCGCATGAATAATCGGTACCATGCCCGAAGAGAGAATAACAATGGGTACATTGTGTTCCTTGGCCCAGGCGTAGAATTCGGCGAAGTATGGGTCGAGCTTCATGTTCTCGCAGAGAATACGGATGCATTCATCATAGGGGTTTTTGACGCTGTCTAGCATGTCCTGGAAAGAGTCTCTGGAAAAGAAAAGGCACAAGTGTGTCAGTTTCGGTTCGTTTACCGCGGTAGAAGCGATGGCGTATCTAGTGATGAATGGGCATACCGGAAACTCATCTTATCTTCCAGAACAGCTAGATTGAGCTCACGGCGTCGCTTCTGGCCGTAGCCTAGGTTATCGGTCTGTAATTGAGACACGATAAGTACATACTTCTATCCCCAAAGATATAGCCAGAATGTCCAGCACGTACCATGAAGTCATTGCCTGTTCGTGCGGAAATATCCCGTTAACTCTCAGCCATTGTATCTTTCTTATTGGAGAGGGAATCCCCGGGGACACGGCATACTATCTTTCAGTGTAATAGTGCCATCGAAATCAGTGAAGAAGACGATCTTCGGCTTCGTCTGCATTGCAGGCAGGTTGTTGGTAGACCCCATTGTTGCAGTTGTATGACCTTTTTATACACCCTTTTTTTGTTGTTTACCGGAATAAAAAGTTATGGGAGGAACCTGCTAGGGATATAGTAGTCACAATCTAAGCTATATTCCTGACCGTCCTGTAGACTGCAGGAATCAGTGGTTAGTTCGCCACAGGGGATAAAATGCCCCGCGGTCTGCTTGTTCTGCGGGGGTTGAAAGGCACCAAGAGATTTCTCCGATCACGGCGACGAGGAACAAATGGTCACGTGTATTGTAGGAGATATAAAAAAGGAGCCCTAGAGCAGAGGCTGACATGTATATAGAGAATAATCCTGATTATAAGCATACAACAAGTTCTATACTAACTATGAGATCACTCTACCCATTTTTTTGATCGTTGCGTCCCCAGTTAGTATGTACATAGCTCCACTTCGATCTTCCAGAGTGCGGACCTGACGTCCCGGCCTCACCCGCAAGGGGAAAGGATAGCCATAATTTGAGCTGCTCCTAGCAAGGAGATTTCTGATATCTTCTGTAAATCACCGTGCCCAGCTACTCCTTCGAAAGCGTGCATTGCCTTGGCCAAAAAAGTGTCGAACGACAGGTGCACGGCCATCATTACCAACCGAGTCGCCACCATAAGTCAAGTAACCATCATTAACAGGCCCGGATTGACTCGCGATATCCTCCTCATTTCCAAATATAAAGACAGTCTGCATCCCCATCACCATGTGATGAAGGATATGACAGTGCATCATCCACACACCCGCATCGGTGACTCTCAACCGCCACCCTCTCCAACCAGAAGGTGCGAGAGGGTCCGTCTTGGTCCTGTAGCCGTATAGCATGGTCGTGTCACGGGTAACTGGCTCGCTGTTCTTGAGGCGCTCCTCATTCTTGTCAACGTCGTACGACCCATCACCACCTCCAATGTCGTAGAAGTGCCTGCCATGGCCGTGGAAAGGGTGACTCTGAACACTGCCATCTGATACGCCACCTTGGTTTTGCCAAATGATCTCAATAACTTCGTCCATTTGGGCCGGGAAGATGCGGGTGATGTTGTCAAATCCGTTACCGTTGGAGATCGCTCTGTCGTATATAGCATCGAGGTCGAGTTTGCCCTTGTACATGTCGACCAGATACGGGGAACTGGGGAAAGTTTCCACCCAGTCGTAACCGCTCTGAAGCCATACGATATGATCGCTGACATTTTGATGGGCTGTGATGATGATCCGACGGGTCACTTCTTCCAAGGTCGGAAAGTCGGGGTCTGGGTTCAACGGTTGCAACTCGTAGTCAAGCCATCCACTCGTTAATGTGGGTTCAGGAAATGGAGGAGACGAGGGGGTTGTCGTCAAATCGGCAGGGTTGCTGGAAGGGTACTGCAAGACTGCGAAGGAGGTTAACTTGTTCGGGTCCTCCAGTGTTGACATTTGGAGGTAGAAATGCTGCTTGTCCGATTCTTGCAACTCCTCCTCTGTCTTAGCCTTTAGAAGTACACTGTATCTCTGGCCACTTCCAATTTGCAAAAACTCGGACTCCACGGGTTGAGTATAATGGCCGTCGGCTTCGATAATAGACATCTCATGGCCCTCGAGACCCACCCAAAGAAAAGACAGAGCTGTGGCACCAATGAATCTCAGGCGATATGTCTTGCCAGGCTCGATGTCGATGGCAGCTAGTTCACAGGATCCTGTAGAGCCACCTGCCGGGAGGCCTTTGCCATTCACCAGAATAGCCAATGAGTCGCCGCTCCACTCAAAGTTGCTGGACGTAAGACCCTCTTCAATTTCCTCGTCTGTTTTAAGGAAGAAGTCAGATAGAGCGATGATGCGCTCCTCATCATACTCGTATGGGGGAGGTTCGGCTGCTTCCACAATGAGCGGTCCCGCAGCAGAGACCGCTTGGAAGCCAATATGTGAGTGGTAGAAGTAGGTTCCTGCATAACCTGCTTCGGGGTGGACTTCGTAGTCAAAGAAGTGGCCTGGAGGGATAGGCCACTGACTTGCCGCGGGCGTGCCGTCGGAGAAGGGAGCAGTAAACGCGGTGAGACCATGCCAATGCTGTTACTCTTGTCAGCACGCAGAAGTATCATTAAATACCGATGGTCGATTGTTTACCATTGTAACGTTCGCGTCCTCCATATCGTTATAGACTCGGATCCAACTCGTTTCATCCTCTTGGAGGCGCAATTCGGGACCCGGAAACGAGCCATTGACTAAGACTGAGTACCTCTCCATGCATGCTTGGCTATAATCCTCAGCGGTGACACGAAGAACATGGTTTGGGACAAACGAATTATCATGGCGAACGAGCTGGGCACCCTGGGTAGCCGTTACCAGCCCCAAGATCAAACTTAGAAAGCTGCCATGGATCTTCGAAGAGAACATCCTCATCGTGGAGACACAGATTCTTTCAAAAATAAATGTGGTCATGGAGGGAAGAAGACCGTCTCTGAACGGGCAGCGAGGAGAACGATTAAGTACTTCATCAAAAACCGAACCCCCCGGGCTGGGTGCGTTGGCAACGCCTCATGTTTTTTTGGTTCATCTCTCCCCTTTTCTCCTATCTTATCTTTCCGTTCGGGGGAAGAGAGTAGTGATGGCTGGCTGGAGGAATGGTCAGGCATCAGCCCATGGGCCATCATTGAAGAACTCGGGCTGATCAAGATCAAGATCTGAACGATCTCAACACGGCACGAAATGGTACACGAAAGTGTAGAACATTTCACGAGCAGTGGAAGCAAAAACGCCAGGAAGCTTCCCCATTGGGTTTCGGGTTGAAAAGATTTCCGACTGGACGGCTTGTCCCAAAATTCGTCTTTCCCCTGAATGCTGAGAGCCGGACGCTGAAGAAAGATGCGGTGGGCACCACCACCTCTTCAACTCTTCTCTGGTGACTTCCGTTAGGCTCACTATTAGATGATAATGAATTCGTCGAGCTAGATAGGACAGGCTTTCTTGCCATCCCTCAACTGACGACCCTTTCAGGTGCAATCCGATGTTAATGTAGGTAGAACTGCAAGAAGAATTTTGGGGGGGGGGGGGGGGGAAAAAGGCCCAAAAAAAAAAAAAACCCGGCTTTTGGGGGGGTGCCCGCAGAAAGAAGGGGTGGGGGCTCCGGGAAGAGCTTTGG